CTGAACTTCTCATCAAAAAAGGAGCCAAAGTTGATATTAGAAATCTTCAGAATCTAACACCTCGTCAGTTAGCTGTTAACTATGGTACTGCTGACTAAATTAAATACCGCTTTAATCTTTTTCATTGATCTGTATTATTTTTCAGCTCACAATAATGTCGCCAACCTTTTTATCCAGGGGAATTGAAAATTTTGACACATAGACACTAGCGCTGCAGTTTGCTTGTCAGTTGGTCAGCTGCACAACTAACAATCATGCTGGTGGAGCGGCCACACAAAAACTGGATCGGTCATATATTTCTGATTCATTTTTTTTACTTTTTCTAAATGAATATGATTATAACATTAAAAGTATTTTGATTCAAGTGTCAAGAGTGTCACTATTATTTTCATCACTTTTGTTCGGCACAATAGGAATACAATAAAAACATAGTTTCATAACACATAACATACGCGTTCTTGGAGCGACCATCGAAATTGATTACAATAGTAGCCAACATTGATTACATCAATAACCAATATTACAGTGTGATTATTTCAACACCCAATTGTTACATTTTTATTCTACGTTTTTGCAAACATGAAGTTTAAAAAGGCTAAATAACACTTTCGTATTAATAAAAATCAAAGAGATAAATCAAACATTGATTCCTCAGCAATAATTAATAGCGACCGATCCAGTTGGAGCGGCAACTCTACAAATTCACCATGGAGCGGCAACACTCCGAATTCACCATGGAGCGGCTAATATTGTTTTTCAAAAGAAAAACTATAATAAACGAATTTGAATTGTCTGAAATTATTTTAATCAATGAAAGTAAGAATATTACTTTTTTATACATTTTCATTAGTTGAATTTTTCGTTTTGATATACAATACTAGCCGCTCCATGGTGAATTCAGAATGTAGCCTTTTTAAACTTCATGTTTGCAAAAACGTAGAATAAAAATGTAATTGGGTGTTGAAATTATTCGTAGCGCGACTCTATTGGGCTGTCTAAAAAAACAGCGCACCCTTTTGGGGATCTATAGTTTTCTATGCAGAAAGTTGGCATTACTGCATCAGAATAAATACTGCATGAGGACACTGTGTACATGCGCATCCCAATATGTAAATAAAAAGGATAAATCTAAAGTGATCAGAAAAATTCTAATTTGGTCCGAATTTAGTCAGAAATAATGAGTAATTTGGGTCGAAATTCGGTCGCTAATTTGAATAAATTCGAAAATGGTCGGAAAAAGGACCGAATTTTTTCTATTTTGGGCAGAGTATTTCTAATTTTTACAGATATCCTTCAATTTTGGGGAGAATTCTTTCGAATAAAAACAGAATCGTATTTCAAAAGAAATGCAACGATGTGTTAGCATAGACAGACGGTCGGACAAAAGTGAAGATGCTACGCGGTTCCGAGAAACGACGAGAGTCAACTGTGTATATGTCGTTACATACAACAACACAAACATTGCGGCATTTCAACTACATATTTGGCAGTATTTATGTGACCATTTACATATGTATTGGGTCAATCCGAAAGTTTCCGCCGTTTTTTTGTTGTCTTAAAATACATTTATTGCAAAATAAATTGAAAATGTACATTAACCAATGTATTCGCCATCGTTAGCTATGACTTCTAGCCATCTTTCAGGCAGCTTGTTGATTCCTCGCTTGAAGAAGTCCTCGTCTTTTGAGGTTATGTAGTCATCAACCCATTTCCGCACTTCTTCCTCATTTTGAAAGCGTACTTCAGACAGGGCAATCTGCATCGATCGAAATAGATAGTAGTCGCAAGGAGCAAGGTCTGGAGAGTACGCGGGCTGATCAAGCCGATCCCAACCGAGCTGCTCTACCTTATTTTTAACGATTGTTGCACGATGTGGCTTAGGGTTGTCAGCGTGGAACAAAACATTGTGGTGTTTTCGAGCCAATAATGGCCGTTTTTCATCCAATGCATGAGCCAAATCATTCAATTGGCGTCGATAACGTTCCTTATTAATCGTTTGATCTGGTTTTAGGAGCTCATAATACACGACTCCTTTTATATCCCACCAGATGCACAGCATAACCTTATCGCAATGAATATCTCGTTTTGGCTGGGATGGCGCCGGTTGGCCGGGATCAACATACGCTGCTTTACGCTTGGGGTTCTCATAATAAACCGATTTTTCATCGCCGGTAACAATCCGATACAAAAAACTGTTTCTTTTGTGCTCTGCAAGATGTTTTGTGCATATTGCGATTCGTGCTTGAAGTTGCTCTTCAGACAGTTGATGTGGAATCCATTTTCCCAGCTTCCGAATCTTTCCCATGGCGTGCAAATGTCTGAAAATGGTTGTTTGGCCGACGTTTAACTGCAATGCAAGTTCTTTTTGCGTTTGGGTTGGGTCTTCTTCCAATAATGCTTGCAAAATGGACATCTTCAATCGCTTCTGGCCGACCTGAACGTTCTTTGTCTTTCAAGTCAAAATCACCACTTTTGAATCGATGAAACCATTCTCTGCAGCTTCGTTCCGATGGAGCTTGCTCGTCATAAGTATCTGACAGCATTCGATGAGCTTCAGCGGCAGTTTTCTTCGAATCAAATAAGAAAAGAAGGGCCCCTCGAAAAAACACCTTATCACGATCCATTTTCAATCGATTCAAAAACAATGACGAAGAACGAAAAATGAATCTTTCTGCTCTGAGTTAGATTGCTAAATGTCACATCTACAAAATGCAATTGGATTCACTTGTCAAGCTACGCTCAGTTACAAGTGGCGACATTTAAATGTCAGCGGCGGAAACTTTCGAATTGACCCAATAATTTAAATGCCTCCAAAATAATGTTCAAAAAAACTACGATTTAGAAAACAAACAGAATATTTCAGAAAAATTATTTTCTTTCATGTTGGCAATGCGCGTCAATGTCGCATCCCAAGTAACGAAACATATCAAATTACTATGTATTATATGTGTTGCCATTGGTTCGCATGTATTACTTGGGTTTCAATGATAAAATGTCCAAAAGTGGGCGCGTGTGTGTTTAGTTTTCATGCAAATTCCCACATAGTGTCGCGCTTCGAAATTATTACACTGTAATATTGGTTACGCGGGGGTATCATTACACTAACAACAACATCATTTGCAAAATTAAATTCGTCCCTCTGGACGAGGTTAAAATGGAGTGACGTTCCGTACGTGGATTTACCACTCAAAATGATTGATATCATTTTAAGTGACGCTAGGGCGCTGTATTATCACTTATTTCTCCTTATCTATATATATAAAACTCATTGTGTGTGTGTGCGTTTGTCCTATTTTTTTTTATTTTCATGATTTTTTAATTCTTGGTTTTAATGGTGAATATGTCGTTAGAATTCTCGCGGCTTAAATAGCAGATTCACATATCAGTTTTGATTTTCGAATTAAATTTTCAAAAGTTTGAAGAAACAATTTTTCTAATTGTTTTTCGATACAACGTACATTAATGTGGATTGATGGCAATGAAATATTGGTTTTGGAACAGAGTTGAACATGGACACCATCTCGGTCCATCATGGTCATGTTAACACGACTTAA